GGAGCGCATGAAGTTTCCTCTGCCCTGCCGTTTGCAGTCCGCGAGAGGTTAGCCTGCTAGGCCCTTGATACGGACAGATGTGCAACATATCCCAGCACCGCCCCTTCCTTTTGCAGCCCCACCCCTTTCGGTGCAGCCCAGGGCCTCTTCAAAAATGTCTGAAGTGTCCCTTGGCAAAAAATTATTGCCCGCCCCTGCCTTTATCGGTAAGCCACCTACTGGTTAACTGGTCAACCATTCACATTCCTCTGCAGCAGGGCTTGACCCGTTTGGGAACTAACCGATGGAAGCGGAGAGACACCCACGATGAACCAAGGACTTGAACCAGGGTTCTCTTGAATTTTTCCCACCCCCTGAGCAGAATGAATTTTGTTATGTGCACCAACAGGGAGGGGTGCGCGACTCAGCACCTTTGTATTGGTGCACACACCAAAATAAGGGCTTCTGAGTGGGGGAGGGGGCACAGAAGCCCAAAGGCTCCAGCTGGGGGCACCCATTGTGGGTTGATAGGCTCGGGGTGGGACCAGGGTTGCCAATTTAGTTGGGCCACTCCCCCAAACAGGGTCCAGTGTGAGAGTTGGCAACCGTAGCTGAGACAAGGGTTCTGATGGGTTGGAAAGGGGTAAGCTCTGGCGCAGATCTGAGGGTAGGCGCATAACCAGAGAGCTCTGGGGCCTACCCTCTCCAGCTGTGGGGGGGGCGGGGGGAGGGGAAAAAACAGACTACAAGAGGCAGGGGCAGGGAAGGCTGCGCAGATCTGAGGGTAGGCGCATAACCAGAGAGCTCTGGGGCCTACCCTCTCCAGCTGTGGGGGGGGGCGGGGAAAAAACAGACTACAAGAGGCAGGGTCAGGAAAGGTTGGAGGGAAATTTAGACTTGAACCCAGACGCCCCGAACCCTCTCCTCCAAAAAAAGCCACTATGCCAAGCAACCCACAATGCAAAGAGTGCTCCACACCCTGCATTTTGGCCGACGTACGCACCCCTTTGCTGCTAAACCTGCAACCCCCAGCAGCCCTCCCCAAAGGGGATTAAACAGGGTCTGGCCGAGGCATTAGCCAGCCACACAAGTTTCCCTGATGTGAGAAGCTGACCATGTAACAGGACTAGGGCACATACCACTGGACTCAGAAACCAGCATGTGTGGTGGAACAGCTCAGAGCTGAGGGTGTCTGGTGCCAGATCCACGGTGCACAGCTCAGAGCTGAGGATGTCCAGTGCTGGATCCATGGTGCATGGCTCAGGCTGTGGGTGTCCGGTGTCAGACCCATGGTGTACAGCTAAGGGCTGAGGGTGTACGGTGTCGGACCCACAGTGCACAGGTCAGAGCTGAGGGTGTACGGTGTCAGACCCATGGTGCATGGCTAAGGGTGTACGGTGCCAGCCCCAGGGCGCACAGCTCAGAGCTGAGGGTGTACGGTCCTGGCCCCACAGTGCACGGCTCAGAGCTGAGGGTGTACGGTCCTGGCCCCACAGTGCACAGCTCAGAGCTGAGGGTGTACGGTCCCGGCCCCACAGTGCACAGGTCAGAGCTGGGGGTGTACGGTCCCGGCCCCACAGTGCACAGGTCAGAGCTGGGGGTGTACGGTCCCGGCCCCACAGTGCACAGGTCAGAGCTGGGGGTGTACGGTCCCGGCCCCACAGTGCACAGGTCAGAGCTGAGGGTGTACGGTCCTGGCCCCACAGTGCACAGCTCAGAGCTGAGGGTGTACGGTCCTGGCCCCACAGTGCACAGCTCAGAGCTGAGGGTGTACGGTCCTGGCCCCACAGTGCACAGCTCAGAGCTGAGGGTGTACGGTCCTGGCCCCACAGTGCACAGCTCAGAGCTGAGGGTGTACGGTCCTGGCCCCACAGTGCACAGCTCAGAGCTGAGGGTGTACGGTCCTGGCCCCACAGTGCACAGCTCAGAGCTGAGGGTGTACGGTCCTGGCCCCACAGTGCACGGCTCAGAGCTGAGGGTGTACGGTCCTGGCCCCACAGTGCACAGCTCAGAGCTGAGGGTGTACGGTCCTGGCCCCACAGTGCACAGCTCAGAGCTGAGGGTGTACGGTCCTGGCCCCACAGTGCACAGCTCAGAGCTGAGGGTGTACGGTCCTGGCCCCACAGTGCACAGCTCAGAGCTGAGGGTGTACGGTCCTGGCCCCACAGTGCACAGCTCAGAGCTGAGGGTGTACGGTCCTGGCCCCACAGTGCACGGCTCAGAGCTGAGGGTGTACGGTCCTGGCCCCACAGTGCACAGCTCAGAGCTGAGGGTGTACGGTCCTGGCCCCACAGTGCACAGCTCAGAGCTGAGGGTGTACGGTCCTGGCCCCACAGTGCACAGCTCAGAGCTGAGGGTGTACGGTCCTGGCCCCACAGTGCACAGCTCAGAGCTGAGGGTGTACGGTCCTGGCCCCACAGTGCACAGCTCAGAGCTGAGGGTGTACGGTCCTGGCCCCACAGTGCACGGCTCAGAGCTGAGGGTGTACGGTCCTGGCCCCACAGTGCACAGCTCAGAGCTGAGGGTGTACGGTCCTGGCCCCACAGTGCACAGCTCAGAGCTGAGGGTGTACGGTCCTGGCCCCACAGTGCACAGCTCAGAGCTGAGGGTGTACGGTCCTGGCCCCACAGTGCACAGCTCAGAGCTGAGGGTGTACGGTCCTGGCCCCACAGTGCACAGCTCAGAGCTGAGGGTGTACGGTCCTGGCCCCACAGTGCACGGCTCAGAGCTGAGGGTGTACGGTCCCGGCCCCACAGTGCACAGGTCAGAGCTGAGGGTGTACGGTCCTGGCCCCACAGTGCACAGCTCAGAGCTGAGGGTGTACGGTCCTGGCCCCACAGTGCACAGGTCAGAGCTGAGGGTGTACGGTCCTGGCCCCACAGTGCACAGCTCAGAGCTGAGGGTGTACGGTCCTGGCCCCACAGTGCACAGCTCAGAGCTGAGGGTGTACGGTCCTGGCCCCACAGTGCACAGCTCAGAGCTGAGGGTGTACGGTCCTGGCCCCACAGTGCACAGCTCAGAGCTGAGGGTGTACGGTCCTGGCCCCACAGTGCACAGCTCAGAGCTGAGGGTGTACGGTCCTGGCCCCACAGTGCACAGCTCAGAGCTGAGGGTGTACGGTCCTGGCCCCACAGTGCACAGGTCAGAGCTGAGGGTGTACGGTCCTGGCCCCACAGTGCACAGCTCAGAGCTGAGGGTGTACGGTCCTGGCCCCACAGTGCACAGCTCAGAGCTGAGGGTGTACGGTCCTGGCCCCACAGTGCACAGCTCAGAGCTGAGGGTGTACGGTCCTGGCCCCACAGTGCACAGCTCAGAGCTGAGGGTGTACGGTCCTGGCCCCACAGTGCACAGCTCAGAGCTGAGGGTGTACGGTCCTGGCCCCACAGTGCACAGCTCAGAGCTGAGGGTGTACGGTCCTGGCCCCACAGTGCACAGGTCAGAGCTGAGGGTGTACGGTCCTGGCCCCACAGTGCACAGCTCAGAGCTGAGGGTGTACGGTCCTGGCCCCACAGTGCACAGCTCAGAGCTGAGGGTGTACGGTCCTGGCCCCACAGTGCACAGCTCAGAGCTGAGGGTGTACGGTCCTGGCCCCACAGTGCACAGCTCAGAGCTGAGGGTGTACGGTCCTGGCCCCACAGTGCACAGCTCAGAGCTGAGGGTGTACGGTCCTGGCCCCACAGTGCACAGCTCAGAGCTGAGGGTGTACGGTCCTGGCCCCACAGTGCACAGCTCAGAGCTGAGGGTGTACGGTCCTGGCCCCACAGTGCACAGCTCAGAGCTGAGGGTGTACGGTCCTGGCCCCACAGTGCACAGCTCAGAGCTGAGGGTGTACGGTCCTGGCCCCACAGTGCACAGCTCAGAGCTGAGGGTGTACGGTCCTGGCCCCACAGTGCACAGCTCAGAGCTGAGGGTGTACGGTCCTGGCCCCACAGTGCACAGCTCAGAGCTGAGGGTGTACGGTCCTGGCCCCACAGTGCACAGCTCAGAGCTGAGGGTGTACGGTCCTGGCCCCACAGTGCACAGCTCAGAGCTGAGGGTGTACGGTCCTGGCCCCACAGTGCACAGCTCAGAGCTGAGGGTGTACGGTCCTGGCCCCACAGTGCACAGCTCAGAGCTGAGGGTGTACGGTCCTGGCCCCACAGTGCACAGCTCAGAGCTGAGGGTGTACGGTCCTGGCCCCACAGTGCACAGCTCAGAGCTGAGGGTGTACGGTCCTGGCCCCACAGTGCACAGCTCAGAGCTGAGGGTGTACGGTCCTGGCCCCACAGTGCACAGCTCAGAGCTGAGGGTGTACGGTCCTGGCCCCACAGTGCACAGCTCAGAGCTGAGGGTGTACGGTCCTGGCCCCACAGTGCACAGCTCAGAGCTGAGGGTGTACGGTCCTGGCCCCACAGTGCACAGCTCAGAGCTGAGGGTGTACGGTCCTGGCCCCACAGTGCACAGGTCAGAGCTGAGGGTGTACGGTCCTGGCCCCACAGTGCACAGAGCCGCGCCCAGAGCCCACAACCAGGCCCTGGCTACACAATGCAGGGCCCTTTGCCCACGATCCACAGCGGGCAGAGGGCGCAGGGCCCCGCCCCGGCTGCACAACGCACTGGGCCGCCGCGCACCGGACCGAACCGAATCAGCGCTTTACCCGGGTCGCGCCACTCGGGCTGGAGCCTCCCTCTCCGACTCCACGTGGGTTCTTTCCGCCCGGAAGCTAATCGGATACACAACGTTCAGAAGGGGCGGGGCCCAAGGCCGGCTGGGCGGCCCCCCCTGCGCCACTCGGGCTGGAGCCTCCCTCTCCGACTCCACGTGGGTTCTTTCCGCCCGGAAGCTAATCGGATACACAACGTTCCGAAGGGGCGGGGCCCAAGGCCGGCTGCTCGCCGCTCATTGGTGTGCACGGCGGACAATCAAAGGACGTAAGCTAAGGGGCGGAGCCAGAGGGGTTTTTTTTTCGGGTGGGGGGGGGAGACGAGAGAACGAAATAAGGATGAGCGGGAGAGAGACAGGAAGATGGATGGAGGAGAAAACGGAAGAAGGATGGATGGGCGGGTGGGAGAAATAGACAGAGAGAGAGAGATCCAAGCCCCCAGCTCTCTTTCTGCCCTGCCAGCCAGGGCGCTGTAACCCCCTGGGGGAGGGGAGACCATAGGCTCACACACTCCTGCTGAGCTCGTGTGTTGGGGTTAGGGTAGCCAAGGGACCTGCCCTGTGCTGGGCTGGGCGTGCCACAAAGGGGGAAACGCTCTGATTTCCTATTGGCAGGCTAGTGAAGTTACCGCTGTCCTTGTGAGACCTCCCCCAGCTGGCTGGGCCTCTAGAACAGGGCTTCCCTGTGGTGGCCGATGCTATAGCCTGGTGTGACCTGGAGCCGTCTCTCAGTTCCATCTCCTGCCGTGCTTTTCACCCTAACAGCCAATGTGCCTTCTAATGTTTTCCATCCATGTGCAGGATACATTTTGTTCTGTGCTCCGAGGCATGTGCAGATGTGCACCACCCATAGAAACACCTGCTGCCGGCTGTGGGTGCTCTGCTAATCAGCGGGGCGGCATCTGAATCCCTCCTGGGTGGCCGACCCAGCGCACAGCTCACAGGGAGTCCTGCTCGCAGCTGAGCTTCATGCACAGAGCCTTGATTCCCAACAGGGCCCCAGTTCTCCTGGCCAGAGCCAGAGCTGAGCTCGCCCGTTCCCCAAGGCAGAGGGCCTCCTACCTGAAACCAAAGGGCATGAGAGCGAAGGGAGCTACAGCCTCTTCCACTGGGGCAAATAACTTACACGTCATGAGCTAAGATCCCTGTGAGCTGCGGCTGTGCAGTTGCCTATTTAGCGCCGTCCAGGCACTCAATGAAGCCATGCAGGCCAGGGACCTGCGATAGCAGGAAAAGGGCTACCCCACCCCCCAACTAGCCCACCATCCAATCAGTTGGGACCATCAAGCTCCAGTCAGGACCCTGCCACTGGCATTGTGGCCCCAATGTGTCTACTGGCTATGATCCAGTGGCCTGGGCCTGGCCCCTGTTTGGCCGAGGCTGCCCCCATCTGGGCCCAACCCCCACCCGACCATGGTAGCATGACCCCAGTTCCAATCCTGCACCAGGCGCTCCCACCTGACCATGGTAGCGTGACCCCAGTTCCAATCCTGCACCAGGCCCCAATGATCTGGCCCCCACAGCCTGGCTGCGGCACAGCACCCTTCCCCCCATCTGGCCATGGTGGCCCAGCCTCCATCTGGACTTATCCCTGTCCCACGTCCAGCCGTGGCCCCCATCCCACTCCAGCTGGCAGTGGCAGTCCAGTGCCAACCCCATACGCCTCATCGCTGGCCCCTGGGTGTTTCCCCCACACCCAGCTGCTGCTGCAAGGAGCAAGAGCTGGGGTGGGGGTGAAGTTCTCTGTCTTGGCAGCAGCCCCAGAGCCCCCTCCATCCCAAACCTTTCCTAAACCCAGCCGCACCCATAGCCTATATCCCCAACCAGGACCCTTGCTCCCTAACCCTCTGCCCCAGGCCTGAGCCTCCTCCCGCACTATAAACCCCTTGGCCCCACCCCTCCACATTCCTATGAAAGTCGCACACCACCTCCCTGTAGGTGCACATCACCAAATTCACTTTGCTCAACTGTGGGGAAATGTAGAGGGAACCCCGGACGTGGTGCCTTGCAAAGCGGCCAAATATGCAGGTGGTCAGAACTGGAGAGACCCAATGTGTGGGCTGGCACATGGGCTCATTTTCCCCGGGAAAGCTCCCTTCCAAGCATTAGCTAGACCCACCCGAATCTCAGCTGCACCCCTTCCATTGCTTTCCCTTGCTCCCTTCTTCCTGAAGTTTCCTCAATGACAGGACCAAAACTGTCCATTTCCTGGTCGTACAGAGCTCTGTAAAGGATTTCCCCCCTATTCTCTTCCCAGAGCCAGATCTACTCCAAGTGACACCCACAGAAACAGCAGAGAACTGGCTGCCTTCAGGAACGGCTTTTGTGCATGCCTTGCTCTGAGATGAAATCTGGCTCCCTCCTTCCGCTGCTCATTCACAGCCTCCCGCTGTGCTTTGCCTGCACACAGGGCCTGTCCACAGGCCTCCCATCTGGCATGTACAGAATGATTCCAAGGCCCGCAGAGGAAGGGTGGAGAGATGGGGGGGATGTTGACTCTGGGGGCTGGCCCCGAAAGGTTGCTGCTATTTTTATCCGGGGAATCTACAAGAGGCTAAAATCCCCTCTGGCTGCAGACATACACGCTACCCCCAGGTTGTGTGTGTGCGTGTGGGGGGGGGCACATTCCAGATATAATCATAGTCGTGTGTGTGTGTGTGTTCTGTAGTCATGGATGTGTGCATGTCAGGGGATTCCATACTCGTGTGTGTGCGTTCATAGTTGTGTGTGTATCAGGGCATTCCAGAGTCTTTAGTATGTGTGGAGGGCATTCCGTATTGTGGGGGAGCGTTCCGTATTTGTGTGTGTCTGTGTGTTTGTGCGTGCATAGTCCTTAGTGTGTGTGGTGTGTGTGTGTGTGTTCTGTAGTCATGGATGTGTGCATGTCAGGGGATTCCATACTCGTGTGTGTGCGTTCATAGTTGTGTGTGTATCAGGGCATTCCAGAGTCTTTAGTATGTGTGGAGGGCATTCCGTATTGTGGGGGAGCGTTCCGTATTTGTGTGTGTCTGTGTGTTTGTGCGTGCATAGTCCTTAGTGTGTGTGTGTGTGTGCGTGTGTGTGTATTGGGGCATTCCATAGTCTTGGGGAGAGGCATTCCAGAGTCCTTAGTGTGTGTGGAGGGCATTCCATTTTTGGGGGAGGTTCCATATTTGTGTGTGTCTGTGTGTTTGTGCGTGCATAATCCTTAGTGTGTGTGTGTGTATCAGGGTGTTCTGTAGTCATGGGAGGGGGGAGCATTCCAGAGTCCTTAGTGTGTGTGTGTGGGGGGGGGCATTCCGTGTTTGTGTGTGCAAATTCCGTAGTCCTTAATGTGTGTGTGCGTGCACGCATGTGTCAGGGCGTCCTGTAGTCATGTGCGTATGTCTGTCTGTGTAAATGTCAGACCTGACAGGGAAGCTGCTGGGGAGAAAACAATCTCCTGCTGCAGCTTGGCCTCCTCCCGCCAGGCGCAAGGCGCTTTGCTGTGGCTGCCAAGCCAGGCTGGCGTGGGAGCTGCGGGAAGCCTTGATGTGCCTGTATCTCTGGCTGCTCCATTCCGCCCAGCGAGATTCCCTCCGCAGGTTGCTACTCTGAAAAACGCAGGGACCCTGCTGTGCAGCTAACGCTGGCCCTAGTCCTGAGAGGCAGAGACGGGGGGCTGTGTGGGGAACCCCGCACAGCTACACGGACTTGGGGGTCTTTGGGCTGAGACTTCCCTCATGCTTTGTGTGTGTACCCAGATGAGGTGCAGGGTGTGTGTGTGTGTGTGTGTGTGTGTGTGTGCATAGTTGTGTATTTGTGTGACACTACAGGGGTGTCGTCAGCAATGCGAGAGGCCCCCACACCTTATTTTGCCCCCTGCACTTTTCACATGCCCTCTATATGCCCCATTGCATCCTCTGCTTTTTGCTCCCCTATCACCTATTCATTGATTCCAAGGCCTGACGGGGCCACTGGTATTATCGCATCTGACCCTCCTGTGGAACAGAGGTCAGAGACCTGGAGCAGATCTTTTCAAAAACCCTCCAATCTTCCTAGAATATCCTAGAAGCTGCCACAACCCCCCCTGCCCCGCCCCGCCACACACACACCATGTTGCCTCGAATTTTTTCCATCCATGTGCGGAATGCATTTTGTTCAATGCACCAAGGCATGTGTGCATGTGCACCACCAGGAGAAACACCTGCTGCCGGTTGTGAGCTCTCTGCTAATCAGCTGGGTGGCATTTGAATCGCTCCTGGGTGGCTGCCCAAGCACTCCACTTGCAGGGAACACTGTTCCCCTCTCCCCTTCCCCCCCAAAATAAATGCTTCTGAAATGGTGCCTGTACCAGATTAAATCAGGGATTCCGACGCCAGCCACGGATCACGATTCCGGCTAACACAAGGGGCGTGGTCTGTCCTCTAGTCCTGCACGTGTGTGGGATGGGGGGCAATGACTGTGGATTTGCACAAGAGCTCAGCTCCCGTTTGGACACTGCATGAAGTTGCTGGATTTTCCCAAGAGCTGCAGGCACAGGGGACGGGCAAACCTGCTGCTGGGCACTGCTGAGTCCTTGGAGGATCCAGGCCTGGGTGCGGGTGCCTGTTTGAGAGCTCCCAGCCGGGCCACGCTGCGCGTTGCAGCATGATGAAGCATCCCTGAGACCTCTGACGCCAGCCCCACCCCCGGCCGCAGGATGTTTTCTGCCGAGTTGGCTGCGCTGCAGAGGGGGTGACTCATCTCATTCTCCCCACCCCCATCCCGACAGGGCCACCGAAAATAGCAATGAGGGGGGAGGGGGAGAACCCAAAATAACCAGCGGCACCTGGCTGGGGCTGGGATGAGAAGCAGAAGGAGATGCGCTTGGCTCCTGCCTCCTCCTTCCAGGGTGCTGGGATTCTGTTCTCAATCCGCAGCAGACACATGGCTCTGTGCTGCAGGCCCAGCTGTGAAGTTGCCTTGACAACCAAGACAGAGGGCGAGAAAGAAAGAAAGAAAGAAAGAAAGAAAGAAAGAAAGAAAGAAAGAAAGAAAGAAAGAAAGAAAGAAAGGAAGGGTTAGAGAGGGTCTCCTTCCCCCAACCAGCTGTTCCTGTTTCATA